CTGCAAGAAATACATGGAATAGGTGCACTGGGTGGAAAAGGTTTGAAACATGGAAAAGCATATCTTTCATCTCCTGAGAATTACAGGTGTCTTGGCAGGCCCTGTATAGAAACAAAAGCTCATTACAAACTTCTCCAAGTAACAACATTAACAACCATTAAAATATACTAACAAGTGCATTGTCTCTTACTCTCTCTTGAAACAGGACACAGAAAACAACTGTAAGAGCACTTTGAATAGAATATCATCCTACAATGAATAACAGACAAGATTAGGCCTTAGAAGCTCTAAAGAAAGAAAATAGAATCACATTTCCATAAATTATTTACGAAATCCCCCCCCCTCCCCAAGAGTCTGTCTAACATATGTCACTTGGCAGAAGCCATACTCATGATAACCTTACAACCAAAAAACAGACCAGTAGACATTAAAATATCCATACATGCACACATCCATGTATTCTGTAAAGCAGGACACTTCCAGAAACTCAAAGTGTCCTTTTTGGCACGTGAGATGTGCCTGAGCACATATTGTGTCTCATCATGTCTCTTTTTTTCTCATTTAACTTAATTTAATTTTTCCTGAATACATTAAGACAAGCATGTCAAAAACCTGTGCGCTCCTAGGACATAGTATGCATAATTTTCTTAAACTCTTAATAAAATTTACATAAGTACCAAATAACTATTCACTTACATGTTTGTTGGGACATAATCTGCAAAAGACAGGATTAGGTGTCCTTATATATTCGCATCCCACCCCATCCCCCAAACCCCAAAAAAAGAGAAAGAAAGAAAGAGGTTTGTCTCTGAAATGCACCATAGGATAGTTTTGAGCTATTGGACTCTTCCTTCACTCCTTTTTTCTTCTTAAAAAAGATGCCCCCAGGCTACAAAGTTCCCATGCTGTGAAGGTGAGGGAGGGTCCTAGAGTTTAGGCAGCCTTACACCCTGAAATGCCTTTAATTCTTAACCAATTAAACTTTTTATCTTCAATAAAAGCCTACCACTCTCTGCTTATAATGGTTCAGAGAAACTTTTTGAATATGACAAAGCCAATATTTGGAACTATACAGATTCTAACTTATCACCTGCTTCTGAACATACAAGTGCCAATATAACAATGGTGGAGGTATACAATTGCCACCACCAAGAATAGCACAAAATAATAATGTTGGAAGTAAGAGTACCAACAAGTACCAACATAACATTGTGCACCTTCAGATAAGGCATTGAGATGAAAACAATTAACGATTTTCATGTATAAACTAATTCCAGGAAAATAATATACAGCCTGGAAGTCTGAAATTTTGTTGCCAAAAGAGTACAGTCATTACCTCATACACAAATAGCTTGAAAAAGGCTACAGAAAATCTGGTGCATCTCTGTAAGTAGAATTCACATCCCACAGACATTTCACCTGGATGATGCTTTTCAGTCCAACTATAAAGCTCTGATAAGCCTTTCTTTCTAAGGCAACACACAAAGTCACAGTTTGTGTCAGACTTCATGCAAGTCCCTGGATTTGCACAACCACAATGTTCAGCCATTCCATCTTTTAGGCCAAACAAACTAAAGCAGCACCTTAAAAAAAGGAAAACAACCAGCCTTTGTAAATGAATGGAAGTCATATGCTGAAACCTGGCATCAGAAACACTAGCCAGAAATGGGGAACCTTCTAGACTGTGTTGCTCAGGCTCTAGATCCATCATCGGTAGCAACAAAAGATCTTCAAAGTAGACATGGATGAGCTGCAACCATGAAACAAGAAGAGAATATTCCAAACAGGTTTGGAAACTAAGCCTGATCATCAGCATCTGCAGAGGACATCTTATCATCAGTGGCATCAACATAATTCTATGCAACAGCATTACTATCAAATTATGCAACAGCAGTGTAGAATACTTAGAACAGCAATTTCTAGGCACACATCATATATCCTTATCAAATAACAATGTTTACAACAGAGTTGTGCAAGTAGCTCACAAGTTTAGATGAGCTAAACTATGTAAGTAGTATACACATAGATTGAAGGAAAATAAGGTAATAAAAAAAATCTGGAGGTCCCACCACTATTTTGTTTCAAGACATGCACGGGTCCAACCAACTGAAATTCTGAAAGGGCATGTGGCAAAAATTTTATAACTAGCTTTTTGGTCTTATAAGGCACCTGTGCCCATAACAATTTGTTCCTATCTTCACAAAGTAAATACCTAAAACAAAGTCCATCTAGCTACTAAAGTAATCTTAGAAGTTATTCATACCAACATCTTGTGTCTAAAGTACTCAGACAAGCATGTGTTCAGATCCCCATCACCAAAGCACCAGGCTAGAATCCTAGGAATGAGACTGCAAATTTTACAAATAAGGGGATTCATATCGGAAGATCCATCTGCAACTTCTCTCCACCCATTTTGATCAACCAAGGAACAGACAAACTGAACAAGAGCTCCAAGAAAAAAAGTTCTAGACTCTAACTGCCTGGCTTCAGCAAGACTTGCATCTCCACTGGACATTCTAAGTGTCTTGCCATCTGGATCAACATGAAGCTCATCAATTAAATCCATGGTATACTTGCAAGACAAGAACTGATCGAAACCAAGTAGATGTGAAGAAGATGATCATCAACACCCTGCTTCAAATGTTTCAATATATTACGAAAAACTTGAATAACACAGGCTACCAAAGCCCAATTTGCATTTTTCAGTTTTCTTTCCAGGGTAATAATGACAATTGACGGATCATCACTTGAAAGCAGTTTTTTGAAGGCTGGATGCTCCAGAGAATGCAAAAGAGCATTAGAAATTGCCAGCTTTAAGCAAATGCACAGTGATTGCATATAGTCATCCCAGCTGTTTCCCTATAAAACATACAGTTAAAGAGAAAAAAAAAAAAAAAGATTACCATTAAAAAACTTCAAGAAAAGTTTATTGAACCTTTGGGATTGTAAATTTCCACGTACATATGCAACCAGGTAACCAGAGATTGCAACAAGAATGTTGCCCGCCAAGTGTTGAACATATTGACTCTCGAATGATATCATAAGTATCTGTTAGGAAAAATAAATCATAAGATTCCAACTATAGAATAATTATACAGCAGAAAGCAGAGGCATTACCTGATCAGCCAGGCAGCAAATCAATATCCAGATAAATTATCTAAAACAATTTTAAATTAATGAAAATGGAAAAACCATAAGATACCAGTTGGTTAATGTTTCAAATTTTTAATGGATGCTAATATAATTCCTTACCATTTGTGAAGCATTCCAAAATGCATAGACACAGAAAGACTTGTGTTTTTACTTACTCAAAAAACTTAGATACATACAGGACAGTGAGAATGGTTTAGGCTCCCAATTCATTGCAATCTACAATATCTTATCTTACCATGAAAAGTGTCACTTGGGCTATATGTTAAAGCTTAACAACCAAAAGACCAAGCTGTAGCAGCATGCAGAACCACATGGACAAAATATTATTAATAAAAAGAATTATAGCAAACCAACCCACGGCATAAAATTAAAAACGTAGAGCACCAGAACAAAAATAATTATCGCTGATAAATCGTGTAAAGAAGCTTGGCCCTTCTTTCCACATTCCAAATAAACAATTTTCGGACGAGCAGTCGTTTAAGAGAGATACAAACTATTACCAAGTCAGCGATGATTTTAGCTAAACAATCATGATCCTCAGAATCTGACTGCGAACCACCTGAACATTTGCTGGTGCTAGCAGGAACTTCCGCCAGCATACCCTGTTTCAGGATTTTGTTTTCAATATTTGGTCTCTAAAATTTCCACTTAAATGTAAAAATTCATTGAGAGAGACTAACATTGTCGGAATCAATATCGTCTTCATTTATCCACCGGTTAATTTGTCTAAAGACCTGAATAATAAACCAGCCAAAGATAAATTATAGAAAAACCAAGAAGACTGAACAGAAAACAAAAAGGGAACTGAAAATTACCTGAGATAGGACAATAAGAAGTTCTTTCTCTCTTTCCTTGCTTAAAATGACCGCATCTTCCTCGTGCGAACTCTGTAATAAACGGAAAGAGTCGAGCGAGACGAGTAAACAGATTGTTCAAACGAACAAAGGAAGGTTAAACACGTAGTCACAAGAGTATGGTTGAACAGACGGTGAAAGAACGGAGAGACTCATCAATTAGTCGGCAGAGCCGCGAGTGCTCAGGTCGAGGATGCATTTTCCGGCGATGCTTCTGGTGAGCAGAAGCTCCAGGATCGCGTCAACGTTGTTCGCTATGAAGAACGATGGGAGACGAGAGTGCCGCCGGAAAAAATTGTTTGCCGATTCAATCGACAAGCTGATCCCTCTCTTGCATATTCAAACGACGCAAAACTTTGTTGAAATTACTAGCTATGTCATTCTCAGTCCTCGCTGATCGCCTTGAATATCACTGCTCATGTGGGAGGATTGGAGGAGGGCTTATTTGCAACGCGTTTGGCTCCAACCAAATACGTTAAGAAGCAAAAAAACATTACAAATTTACGATTTTCATTTATTATTATTTAGTTATGTTAAAAAAAAAAACTTTTGAAATATTTGAAAAGGTTTAAAACACTGGGTTTTTCTTTTGGGGGAGGGAGGGTAATTTCGGAAAATCGGAGTGTCGTTCAGTCTGTTCCTTCCGGCTTTCTCCTGGTGTCTCGCCTGTTCAAAAGACCAGACACAAGATTTCCCAACGTTGTAGTTCGTTGGCATTGTCCTCTGCGAATACTAAAAGGACGTCGAAGAAAGATTCTTAAGCTAAAATTCAAGACATCACAGATAAATCTCTAGAAACCAATTTTTACCTGTTAAAGAGGTGGAATGAATTGCTCCCTCTGTTTTTCTCGTCCGTTTTCTTTGTTCGTATAGGATTTTTGACTATCATTTTCCTCCATCCTATAAACTTATAGCTCTAAATACATACTACATAGTTGAGTCTAATCGCTCTCATTTTAAACAAACCAGGCTAAGGGGTGAAGGTCATTATTTATGCCCGCGACATGCGAAGCCTCCTCTCTAGTGGCCCTCCTAGTGCAGCGATGCGCATCAACCACCAACCTGAGAAAAGCGCGCCAACTCCACGGCCTCATCCTAACCTCTTTGCCCACCATCACTCCTTCGCCATATGTGAACAACAATATCCTCTCCATGTATGCAAGGTGTGGCTCCATTGGGGACGCCTGCCAGCTGTTCGACAAAATGCCTCACCGAAGCATTGTTTCCTTCAATGCACTCATTTCAGCCTTTTCGCGTGGCTCCCTTCATGCCATTTCTGCCTTCAATCTGTTCCATCAATTGGAAATAGAAGGCCTTCGCCCAAATGGTTCCACATACACCAGCCTCTTACAAGCGTCCTCTCTGCTTGAAAAATGCACTCCTGGCTCCATGCTTCATGCTCGACTTGTAAAGTCTGGATTTGCAGGAGATACTTGTGTCCAGACCTCATTACTTGGGATGTATTCGAATTGTGGGGATTTGGAATCTGCAGAAAATATTTTCAACCCTATGGTTGACAAAGATGCGGTGGCTTGGAATTCAATGATTTTAGGCTACATGAAAAACGAGAACATAGCAAGTGGTCTTCAATTATATGGGAGCATGGTGAGGAGTTCTACACTTCCTACCCAATTCACATATTCAATGATCTTAATTGCTTGTAGTAGACAAATAGATCTTGTCTCTGGGAAAGCTGTCCATGCTCAGTTGGTTGCATGCGGTATCCCAATAGATTTGCCGTTAGAGAATTCACTGCTTGACATGTACTGCAGTTGTGGAGATATATATACGCGTTTACAGTCTTCAGGAGAATAGAATACCCCGATTTGGTTTCATGGAACTCAATGATATCTGGGTATTCAGAGAATGGGCTGGCACAGGAAGCCATGGAAATGTTTGTTCAGTTTCAACGAATCTCATCTTTTAAACCAGATCAATACACATTCGCAGCCATTATTTCTGCAACAGCAACAAGCCCATATTCTAATTATGGAAAACCGCTTCAAGCGCAAGTTATCAAAGCAGGTTATGAAAGGAGTGTCCATGTAGGAAGCACATTAATTTCAATGTATTTCAACAATAAAGAAACTGGCTGTGCACAAAAAGTTTTCAGTTCAATTTTGGAGAAGGATACTGTTCTATGGACAGATATGATTTCGGGTCATTGTAGAATGGCTGATGGAGAGAATGCAGTCAAATTCTTCCATTTAATGCGTAGGGAAGGCCTAAAGGTCGACAGTTTTGCTCTTAGTAGCACTTTAAGTGCCTGTGCCGACCTTGTAATTCTGAAACAAGGCGAGATGATTCATTGCCTTGCTATAAAAACAGGTTATGATTTTGAAATATCTGTATGCGGCAGTCTAATAGATATGTATGCCAAAAATGGGGAGCTTCAGGCAGCTGAATCAATAATTTCCACGGTCTCATCCCCAGATTTGAAGTGCTGGAATGCGATGCTTGGAGGATATGGACACCATGGGAAGGCCGTGGAAGCAATGAAGGTGTTTGATGAGATATTGAAAAACAATCTCAGTCCAGATAAGGTAACGTTTATTTCTCTTCTCAGTGCCTGTAGCCACGATGGGTGGGTAGACAAAGGAAAACTTCTCTGGAATTGCATGAAAGAAAATGGGTTGAGACCAGGGCCGAAGCACTACTCTTGCATGGTAAGTTTGTTAAGTCGAGCAGGACTTCTAGAGGAAGCAGAGAGGATGATTGTTGATTCACCCTTTAGTGAAGATAATGTTGACTTGTGGAAAGCGTTGTTAAGTTCATGCATCACTCACAAGAATTTTGAAATGGGGGTTCGCGCTGCTGAACAGGTTCTAGATGTAGATGGAGATGATTGCGCTACACATGTATTGCTTAGCAATCTTTATGCAGCTGCAGGGAAATGGGGCGATGTCATAAGAACGAGGAGAAAGATGAAACATCTTGTGTTGGAAAAAGATCCTGGTCTAAGCTGGATTGAAGTTATGAATGAGATCCATGTGTTCTGTTCTGGGGATCAATCACACCCAATGATGAAAGAAATGCACACTGAACTGCTTAGCATAAAAGGAAACATGAAATCAAAAGTTGATAGAAATTTCACACTATAAAGGATGTAAAAACTGGAGCTGGGGTACGGGACAAGTAAGAAGCTTGAGTGCCATCAGATATCCTAGCTGCATGACTAGCTTAAATTCTCGGCACTTCTAGCCAGAGAGTCACAGTAATGCTCTCGAGTTTTCTATAATATAGTTCAAAAAATTTTCCCTACTGTATAGCAAACTTCTCTGATAAGCTGAATTTCATCAAAATATCCAAGCAATAATTCTTCATTTATCCAGAAATTTCAAGTTAAATACATACATCCTGAAACTGAAGTTAACTCCAAGGGCAAACTACAGGATTACTGTCTTAGACATAGCCAAGTCCTGACAGAACGCAAACTCTCCAGACAAGACTACAAAGACCTAAAGCTGAGAAAGCTCGATAAGTAAACATAGACTACAGAAAACCTCAAAGGCATAAACAAGCTAATAAACAACCCAAATAAAACAGGTAATACTGTATCTCAGATCAAATGAAAATTCATGTCAATTTTCCAATGGGTAGATATCCAGCAATGTATTTTACAATGTTACAATAGCATACATCTGACATTATCTTTGCAACATTAGAAGTCAGTAACCAGCCGTCTTCTAAAAATAACTCTGTATCAAGTCGTCAATTGTTCAGTATCAGATCATAGCAGATTCCAGGACTTCAACTTTGAAGAAGTTGCTGTTGAAATTTTGCATTAAGTGAAGAGAGCTAATGAATGCCTCCATTTTCATGACCTCAAGATAGCTACTAGCGTCGACCTGAGCGACTTTTAGCTCTTGTTTTCTGAAAGGAATAAGAGAACTAATTTTTATTTTTTCCAGAAAGTACAGCATTATAAAATAATAAGTCAAAGGCACACACAGGTTCATCTGTCTGTCAACCTTAGCAACCAATAATACTATCAGGTTTTACGTCTGGTTCAATGCTGCATTTCGGTAAAACTCTCCCTCAACCAACTAAAAAAGTCATCAAGATAATGCACCAAAGCAAACAGGAGACGTGAAGACATGACTTTGCATCCATCTTTTGCTGGATAGAAATGATAAGAACTTCGTTCTTAAAGTACTGGTACAGTAACAATTAAACCATTTTTTCTAGTTGCAACGTTCTATGTTTGAGCATTGATTTTGCAGAAGGGAAAGGTAAGAAAATGACAAAAAAGATGATTATTTTAAGGAACAATAATGATGTAAAAGATATCAGATAGCTTTTCAAAAGAAAGTGCACTTTCTGTTTGAGAACATATGAATAAAAGGAAAAATGTGAGTTCAAGCCAAGATCCAACAATAGCATTAATAACTTAAGCACTAGCCAAGATCCAACTTTCAAAAGCCTTGCTGGAGGTGGATTACTCCCACCCCCAACCCCCCCCCCCCTCTTCTCTTAAAAGAGTCCTAGAAAAAACAAAAAGGGAGTTCTCAAAAATACTGTGCCAGCACAATTTGAAGAATAAATCAAAAGAGTTAAAAGAGCAAAATCGGTTACCGATGCAGTCCCAAAGCTAGCTCCAGATCCAGTTGCAGCACCTAGGCAACATAAGAACTCAATCAGACAGTAGAGCTTAAAACTTTAAAACTAAAAAATGAACCAAGGAGAGAGTGGCAGCCTTCTCATTGGTAAAGCAGCAGCAAAAGTGGTTATTAATCACAAGTTTATAACTCCAATCTGTTACTAGTAACACACTGCACTTCACTCATCTTTGGATAGTCAATAATTGAAAAACCCAAAGGACAATAACATATCGTGGCATTATTATGTCAGTTGCTTTCTGACCAGATGACTATTGGAGAAAAAAGAATCTAGGGGCTGAAATTCAAACTAATATATATTTTTCTGCTCAAACATATAAACCACTGGTAAATATTTCCAAATGGGACCTTAAAATTTATTTTGCTCTCAGCAGGGTCTTTAGTGAGGATTGTTTTACAGTCTCCTCCCTTACAGCTTACTATTTGCTCAAGAGGTTCAGAACCAGGAGCCAAACCCTATATCATTGAGAAGAAAAGGATCATGTCCAGTAAGTCTTCCAGAAATACAATCCCATAAAAATCTTGGAACACAACACTCCTGGACTGTCTTGATGAAAAATCATTACAAGCCCTGAATCAATAGACTCGAATAAATTTCAATCCCTCTGGGCTCATAAACCAGTAGCTAAGATACATATGTATATATAGAATTTGTTCCTTCTCTCAGATTCACTAGGAACTCGGCAGTGACTAAATTAACAGGCAACTCTCATTGATTTAAATCTACCACAAATATCTAGGCAATTAATTATTATGAACATAATTTCCTTATTGCATCCAAAATTACCGCATTTAGATTCAAACTGACTGTGATACTAGTCCAAATTTCTCTCATTTCTTAGTACTCACAAAAAAAATTGACTTTGACAGTTCACAGCAACAATTCTTTGATATATAACCAGTAATTGTACATGTGATGGCACAGATCATAATAGAAATTTCCATATTCAAAAATTAGACAGTGCAGGAACCATTTCATAGAAAACTACAAAAAGAAACACAGCAATTCAAATTTTTGGAGTTTGTTTTCCTGGCTTTCAGCATAGATTTCTCCTGGGAAAATTAATCAGGCAGAAAAGAACTAAACTATTCAATGAAAATAGAGTCATTAACAGAAAATGGTGTTGACAAAGAACATACCTGAAGCAAATGGAGTTGTGAAGTTAGAAACCCCAGAAGCAGGGGTTGAACCGAACAATGCACCAGTGCCGCCAAAGGATGGAGTTGAGCCAAAAAGTGGTGTCTGTGGTGAAGCACCAGATGCTCCAAAAAGGGATGATGTTGAAGCAGAAGTACTTGGAGTGGAGAACAGAGAAGATGATGATGCAGCAGCAGATGGAGCACCAAAAAGCAAAGACCCACTCCCTGATGAAGCTGAAGCAACTGTTGCAGAAGTGTGTGGCGCAGATGTTGCACCTGCAGCTGCTGAGCTAGCAAACAACCCTGCAACTTGAGTTGATGGCTGTGGAACTGCAGACAAATGCAAAGTTGGATGTACCCTTCGAGCAGCAGCTTCTTGTTTGGCTGTTTCTCGTCGATCAGCCTCTAGAAAGGGATCATTCACATCCCCCCGGCGGCACTGATCAGCAAGGTATGCTGTTTTCATGGATTCCATGTACTGATGAATGCTCTCCACCTACAAAAATGCATATTATGGAACTGTTACAAAGATTGTAGCAATTACAAAAACATAATTTATCAGGAAACAAGACACAATCAAGTCAAAGCATTTAAGCAGTAACCAGTCATTACATGAAATATAAAGGACACAACATTCAGTTTCTAAGCTCCAACATCTAATTATCAAGACATCAAGGAACTTCACAGTTCAGTCATTGGACACTACACAACACAGTTCAGCTGTTAAATAATGCTTTCAGAAATTCATACCCTCTGCATGACAATACAACAAGTTCAAAACGGTCTACAGCTTTACAATAACCATAATAGCTGAAGATGCAACAGCCTTATAACTTGGGAAAGTAGTTTCGACATATGTTTTATTGAAAGTTCCTCGATCCCTTCTTTTTTATTTTTTATTTTTCTTTTATCATAACAAGTCCTCTAAAGTCCAAAATACTCTGGTAGAACTTAAATCAAGCTTTCCAATAAACATACAAGATCAGATGTTAAATTTTGCATATTCAAATTTCCTATATTGGTAGTATTCCATTCCTGATATAACGTCCATCTTATATATATATATATATATATATATATTTAAGTTGGACAAAATCAGAAAAAATATATGCTTTTCTAATTAGGGCAGCTTTTGAAGATATTGCATTCTTTAAGTTTTCAGGTTCATTTTTTATACGTTGAAAGTCAATTATTTCGTAAACACTTGGATTAGAATACTAAATTGGACTTCCCTCTGAAAAGCAAAAGGTAATGACATAAGTTGTAATCAAAAGGAGCCCGACAGATTTTTTCTATTTTGACTCGTTCAAATCTATCTATATACCCACAAAATGAGAACTATTAATGGCAGAAAATGTCTGTTGTTCACAAGAGTATAATAGAAATTAGCAGGAACATAATACAAAAAATAACAACATAAACCCAAAATATATATTAACATAAACTCAAAACGCAACAAATTAACACAAACCCAAAATACATGATTCAGAATGTGCATATACAAATACACACATGTATCATTATAATGCAGGGGGACTGGCTAAGAAATAGAACTCTAAAGTACAAGAACCTCAGTTTCCCTTACCTTTGCAGCCACGTGAACAAAGAAATCATGTACATTTGCCATGACTTTGGGAAGAGATTGTAATAATGAGGCACTAGAGTTCAAATAATTCCTGTCAGAATCTGCAAGAAGTAACTGCTCTAACTCTTCAATCCACTGGCGGCACTCACCAAGATATTTCTCAAATCTAGAAACCGTTTGCTGCATAAAAGGAGATGGTTTCCTTGCAATCCCACTATAAAAGTCAAAAACTGGCACTGCAGATGTAGCTGCTGACTGATTGCCTGCACTTGGAGCCACAGTTGCCCCTGAAGCCTGTGATGTGGCAGTGGCACTTGAAGAAGCACCAGTATTAGGATGAATAAATCTTGGCCTCAACATCATAAAAGAACGAATTGCGACCTCTGTGTTACGCAACATATCTTTCACAACAGCCATCAATTCTTGCAAAACAGCTTTCTGCCTTTCCATTGCTGCACTGATTCCACCAAGTTCCTGCCTCCAGAAGTTAAAAAGTTTCGTCCATCATGGAATAATCAGAATTTGAAAAGAAAAGGGAAGCAATTTCTTACAGAGCTAAGTACTGCATAGCCATCAAAAGCTTGCAAAAAGAAAAAGAATTTGGTATTTTTATTTCTTGATTATCGCATGCATTGACATTAAATGATTAGTTTAACGCTTGAGCTTTGAGGTGACAAGGTAACATCCCACAACAATTAGACAGACAACCTCAAATTGTTCCAGCTTTCCTCCTACAAATTCAAGGAACTAAGCAATTCAAGTACAGCTATTAGTTTTGACCAATAACTGAAGAACTTTTCTGGCCAATAGAACAATAATGGCTTGCAGTAACTAGATTGAAAGTTGGTAATTGGCAGCTTGATGAGTAATTAAAGAATTCTGTATGATGTTTGGGTAGTCTTTGCTTCTTCACACAGCAGAGGAATAAAATATATATTCACAACAAATATTCCCCAGCAAAGAAGTTCAGTTTTCCAGAACTTCAAACCTGGCAGCTGAGCCCAGACTTTTGAGTCACAAAGATTAAAAGCATAGTACATCACTGTTGGAAAGGTATTCCATGAAGAGGTTATCTAAACAAAAGCAATGAAATTATTGAATTACTGCAAACAGGAAAATGGGACCGCTAGCAGAAATGAAAAGATTCAATTTTACTGGTAACATAACATCTCTTTACATGCTAAAGGCTGGATTTACTACTCAGCCAACCCAACAGATGGCAAACACTAATGTAGAATAGGAAAAGTTTATTTGGATGGGCTCTATAGCCTAATCAGAATGAGCTTAGCCCAAAATTTAACTCATTTATAAAATAAGTTTACTCAGACAATGAGCCATTTTATACCGCTGATGAAAGAAACAATCTACAGAAAATTTTAAATGGACAAAGCAGTAAACTAGTAATCTCATCTACAATTAACCTATGGTTTTAATTGATAGAACAACCACCACTGCCTCAGTTTCTTGCATAATGTTTTGTTTTAACAGCCGTTAATGGGAACTGTATTTCAAAGGCAATATGAAAATAAATCCTACAATCACGTAAAAATGTGATCCTGCATTTCAATCTAAAACTATTTTTCAGTATAAAAAGAATATTTTTTTCACTGTAAGAAGTCCCAAACAGAAAAGGGGAAAAATTTTGGTAGGAACGAACTTGGAATTTATCATGGCAAACATGTAGACATTTAATCTGATAAGATACCCGCAGTGTTAGGCATCTAATGTGGAAAAGAAGGGATACAATTTGAAAAATATTTCAGTTCACTTGACCACAGACATATTTCTGGTCACTGTCCCGGTCTCCCATATGAAACAGGTTTTGAAAATTTTACATCAATGGCAAGGATTCCTAAAAGCAGAAGTTAAATGCAAATATTGTTTAAAATTATATGTAGAGATACAGAAAGGGCGAGGAGAGGCAATGATCTATAGGCCCACAAAAGAGAAGAATTATATGATGAAAAATTAACTCTTCCTCCAAAAGAGCTTTGGGATAGATAATCATTCCAGCAATTTAACAGAAAGTCAAGCGTTGCATAATGAAAATATACATAGGCAGCCAAATACATTTAGTAACTCAAAAGCGCGCAAACCTGAACAATGTGGCTGGCATCGAGCTCAAACCCGTCATTTGAGACTGAAGAATCATACAGCCGGCTACATTGTTCCAGCCGCTGGCTTTCATCCCTATACTCCAGTATCTTCTCCCTGTGCGCGGGAAAAAAAAAAATACTTCATAAACACAGAGTGCTCTACACTAACCATATCCAAATTCCAAATTCAATGAAAAAAATTCCCACTAAATTCAAATGCAGCATTTTTAATTGTAATCAACCACAACAATAACAGTGAGTAAACAATTTGCTCGTCTGTACTCGATCTGTAGGAGAAATTTTTGAGAGTCGGGGTGGAGATCGGCCCATTTGGTGCTGTAATTTGCCGGAGTCTTTTCGTTGGTGAAGAGATAGAGCTGCTGCTGCTGTTGTTGTTGCTGTAGCTGCTGCTGTGGATGCCGAAACGGCTGTTGTAATTGAAACTGTGGTTGTTGTTGCTGTTGTTGTTGTGGTGGAAATAATGGGCTGCTCTGCTGGAAAGGGGATTGTTGCCATGTTTGGAACAGTGGCTGCTGGGGCTGCTGTTGCTGAGGCGTGAACGAAAACGACATCGCTTCCGAACCCTGCTTTCCGGTTAATCGGTTTTGGGAGACATAAGTGCTTCCCTAGATTCAGTAGTTAGGATGTTGAAATTTTTGAGACTGAAGGAGTGAAGGAGAAAATCTTCAAAACCCCGGCTTTAAAACCCTAGGAGGGATTAGAGGCAAGAACTGGAACAGAGGAAAGACCCGCCTTGAGTGCTTCTATATTCGGAATTCTTTTTGAACATTTTACTAAAATCGGGTCCTGATCCGACCCAGATGCATTGGCTTTACTTCATATTGGGCTGAAATTACCCGGCCCGAATAATCTATCGAATTTAGTCAATTTAATTTTAGCGCTATTTGGATTGAGCTTAATTCTTTTTGGAAGACCTAACTTTATAATCCATTCTTTTCGATTAATCTATAAAAACAAATTTCGTTCAGCTCTCACTATTCAAAATTTGATATGTAAATAAGTATCTTAAATCAATAATAATATAAAAATACTCAAAGTATATTAGTAGGGAACTATAAATTTATTTATTTTTTAAGAAAAATGACTAATAATATAATTTAATATATTTTTTGTACTAGAGATAAGTGTTGAGTCTGAAGGTTAAGGATAAAGTTAAGTGCTCAATTTAGAAAATTAAGTATTCAATTTAGGAATTAATCTATTTAGATTATGATTTGATCTTAATTATCTTTTATATTTATCAATTAAATAAAATGTTAGGGCAAGAGTCACAAATATTGAGAGTTATTTTATTTATTTATTTAGCCACTTGGCTTGAAAATTAGGCATTTTATTCCTTAATATTATTAGGTGATAGTGAATTTTTCTTTATTTATTAAATTTAAATTAATTTATTTCAGAGAGCATTTACTCCCCGTCACAGTCTAAGTTAACTCACGTGTTCATAAATAAATTAAATCAAAAATTCAAATAAATTGAGACTATCCAATTCATGCTCAATGCATATATTTAATAATTGGCATCTTAATTATTTTGAAATCATTTCAACTTCAATAAATTTGAAAATTTTTAAAAATATTATTCATGGATATGAAATTTTTCCTAAAAATTTATTCCAAAAACAAAATAAATTTAATTTTGACAGTAGCATCACCGTGGGTTGGTCATCGTCACCTGGTTTGCTCCCCTACAAAAAGGGAAAATTATAGTATACATTTTATTTTCTGGATAATAAAATGAATTTATATTCCACCTATTTTTTGGCACAAGAAGAAATAAACTAAAACTAAGAAATGGAAACTATATATACTACACCAGTTAGTCAAATATGACCAATAGCTGACAGGTACTCATCCAAAATGCAAAATTTAGCATTACACCCAATCTCCAACTTAGTAAGAAGTTTTGTCCAATTATTCGCTTTTCACATATAAAAATGGCAACTGACCTGGATACAATGAATATTTAGAAAAATTATCTAAAGAGGTCCAGGTTTGCGTACTCCTAAATAAATTTAAATATTTAAATAGGTACTTTGTGTAACTCTATTTCAAATCTAGATATTAAAATATTAACCCCGTCTTAATTTCATATATTATTATATTACTATATATATAATATTTGTATAAATTATATATACATTGTATATATGATTTATAAAATTAATTTTATAATTCAGTAAAAATACACATATATTATTTAAATTTTTTTACTTACTTTTTATGTTTACTTATTCTAAATTATAAAAATTATTTACAAAAAATTATACATCTGGTACACAGGTCCAAGTTCAGGCAAACAGGTATTTAATAGATATGGTTATAGGAATTATATTTTAGACCCACACAAGTCTAGGTCCCTTTTTATAGCATGGGTCTAGGTCTGATTATTATAGAACCCACCCCATTACCATCCATATTTATAAAACATGAAAAATAGTAACAAACTAAAGTTGATAAATCAACTCATCAATACAACAATTATCGCTTAATATAAGTGATAAAGAGTGAATTATGGACCAAAAATAATCTACTTCTAATGAATCAATCTCACGTTACATCTAACTAAAGATGTTTGAGAGATTGGATAGAGCCTTGGCATATATAGACTAAAGACTGCACTTTCTGAAGTGGTTGTTAAAGTTTTGCGAAATGTAAAGTTCTCAGACCATAACCCTCTCCTCATTTGTACCCGTGATATTCAATCCAAATGAGTGATCAAACCATTTGGAGTTGAGCAGGCTTGAACATTACATGAGGATTATTAGAATTGTGTCAAGTCAACATGGAGCGAAGATGTTGGGATTGCGGAAAACATTGAAAATATGGTTCAGAATCTAAAATGTTAGAATAAGGAGGTATTTGGGCACATTTAAGGAAGAAAGAAATCTTTACTAGCTATACTATCTGGCATACAAAGGAGCCTAGAAAATTCGCAGAGAGAAAATCATTTTTTGAAGAAACTGGAAAGAAAGCTGAATGAGGAACTAGCTCAAGTTTTGGAGGATGAGGAAATTAGGTGGTTTCAAAAATCTAGAACCATGTGGATAAATGAAGGTGATAGAAACACAAAGTATTACCACCTTAAGATTGTCCATCATAGACGAAGGAATAAAATTTTGATGTTGAAAGTAGAGAATGGGAAATGGGTGGAAGACCAAGATGAGCTCCAAAAGCTAGCAACAAACTATTACAAGCTCTTTTTCTCAAAAGATGATTGTTGGATAGATATGGACTCCCATTTCCCTATCTTAATGTCTATTAGCCATGAGGATTCAATACAGCTTTCGAAGCATCTCTTTGAGGAATGGATTGAAGAGGCCTTTTTCGATAT